CTGCAATAGCCTACTGTTTGGTTTGTCGATGCCTTAAGTCTCTCACCACTCCATGCCATTTTTCACTCAGGTGATCTTTCTAAACCGAAAGTCATACCATATCATCCTTTTACTCAATACTCCAGTGACTCCCGATAACCACTAAGACCAAATATAAAATCCTCGTTTGAGAAGCCCTTCACAACTTTGCCCCTTTCTACCTTTCCAATATTCTTACATTATTATATGATCTAGGGACATTGGGCTTCCCACGGCTCCTTGTACATGACATTCTATCTCCTTTTTCACCAACTGTCTTCCATACCTAGAATACTGTCCATTCTCACTGCTGCTTTCTGGCTCCCCTGACTTTCTTCAAGACTAAGCTCAAATCCCACTTTTTGTAAGGAGTCTAATTCTTGGACTCCTACTGCTAGTTCCTTCCTTCTGAGATTGCTTCCAATTTACATTCTCTATATATCTTGTATTTGTGTAATTGTTTGCTGCCATCTCCACCATTAGAATGTGGGCTCCTTGAGGGAAGGGAACCTGGTTGTGCCCTTCTTTGTATCCCTAGCACTTAGCACAGTGTCTGGTACATGGTAAGTTCTTAATAAATACTTTCTGACTGATTCAGTGAACCTACAAAGGAGAGTGAGTAGGAATTTTCAGGTTAGCAGAGAATGGGGAGACATAAACTGTCATGGAAGCTAAAGGAAGAAGGCCAATAGGTCAAAATCTGCAGAAATAACAAGGTGAATGAGTACTGAGATAAGTTATTTTGATATAGTAGCTAAAACACTTTTGTTAACCTTTGAGAGGTCAGTTCCAGTAGAATGGTAAGGGTGGTAGGAAAACTGCAAGAATTTAGGAAGTTAGTGGATATAGAGGAAGCTGAGGCAGCAAGTATAGTTTATTTTTTAGTTTAGCAGTGAAAGGAAGGAAAGGTGGCGATACGTTCAAGGAATGGTGAAGTCACATTAAGGTTTGAATATGTTTGTAGATAACCTTCCTAGAGGATAGTTGAGATGATGGAATCAAGGGCACAAAGGGAATTGGTCAGGTTTGGCAAGGAGACAGACCACTTGTATTCTTTCTAGATGAGAGATCAAACAAGAAGGGGTTGTGTACATGGAGTAGACCTACTCCTTCTCCAGACTTAGCACAGGAAGGAACATGAAAGAAAAAAAATAGCACAGAAGATGATGTCAAGGGATGAAGCATTGTTAGGAAGTCAGATTTTCCATGATGTCAAAGATGTAGATTATGAGAGGAAGAAGAAGGTGAAAGGAAGCTAATAAAGTAGGAGTTTCCAAGCCAGAGTTATCACTCCAAGTAAGAATGAATAAGTAAGAAATAAGAGGCAGCTATCAGTAGTTCCTTTCCTTCCTTCTGGCATCCTATCCTGATTTACTTCTAAGGATTGATCTTTTTTTCTTAGGGTTTTTCTCTTAGCTCTCAACTCATCTGATAAGGTCAGAGAATCATAGAATCTCGGAGATAGAAGGAAAATTAGAAACCATTTATTTTTATTTTGTTTTGGAAGATAAAAGAAATCCAACTTATATTTATACCATAACCCCTTCACCTCTAAAATATCCCTAAAAAGTAATCATTCAGACTTATATTGAAGACCACAAGTGAGAGGGAGTCTTACTAGTAACTGAAGCAGCCCATTCCACTTTTGGAGAGCTCTAAGTGTTAAGAAGGTTTTACCCCTCAATATATACACGTACGTTTGGATTGGATCTATGATTTCATTAATGTAGGGAACTTCTGGCAAGGAAACTCCCTCTACCAATGCAGGCATCTGTCCTACAACTTAAGAGTCTTAGAAATTTGTGTGGGGCATAAAAAAATTAGCTGATTTTTCTCAGGATCATGTGGCCACCATGTCAGAATCAGGACTCAAGGATATTGTGATTGGAGGCCAGCTCTCTATCTACTATGGCATCTTATAACATGCACACACACACACACACACACACACACACACACACACACACACATGCATCGAGTGTTTATCTAAACATTCTAGATTGTTTTAACCAATCTCCTTGTGGCATGGTTTCTGGTGTCCTCACCATCTTGCTTGCACCCTTTTGGACTGGTTCCAGCTTTTCAATTTCCTTTTAAAATATGGTGCCTAGAACTGCACACAATATTACAAGTGTTGTCTTGTTGACCAAAGCAGGGTACAGTGGGATGATACATTTCCTCATTCCGGATGCTATGTTTCAGTATAAGATCCCATTAGCTTAGTTGGGGTTGCCATGTCATTCTATTTACTCAGATTGAGTTTTCAACCTATTAAAATACACAGGTCTTTTTCACATCAATGATTGATTAGTAATATTCCCCTCATTCAGTCCTTGTTCAGTTGATTCATTTTAATAAAACAAATCAACTGTACAAGTATATATTTATTCATAATTTACTTCACCTTAATAGACCTAACCTATTGTACTGGCCTGATGAGATCTATTTTTGGATATAGACTCTGTAAGTCAGCTAACAGTTCTCTCTGTACAAGTTCTATATCTCACACAAATTTGATAAAGATTTCATTTGGTAATAATCGTTCAAATTTATATATTGCTTTAAGATTTACAAAGTATAATGCCATCAAAAACTCTAAAAGGCAGGTAGTGAACTATTATTCCCATTTTACAGATGAGGAAACTGTGAAACAATTTTCCCATGGTCATATAACTAGTGTTGGAAAATAAATTTGAATCCAGTTATTCTGATTCAGAATGACATTATTTGGGAGTTGGAAGGGAACTCAGCGGCTATCTGGTGCAATGAAAATAGAATCCTTATTATAATGCACCCAAATAGTGATTGCCTGGCCTCTGTTTGAAAATGTCTAAGAAATAGGAACTCACCACTTGCTGAGGTAGCTCATTCCCTTTTGAGGCAGCTCTAATTGTTAGGAAGTATTGATGATATCATACCTAAATTTGCCATTTTGGGTCCAACTAGCACACGTCTAATTCAAATCTATTCTAAGTTTAGGCCCTTTCTACTATAAGACACTGCCCCAGAGTTGATGGGGTTCAGGCCCAAGCCGAGACCTTTGCCCCTCATCCCAAAAAGAATAAGAGTGAAAGGCATTGTCAAATGCTTTGCTGAAATCTAAGTTTATACACACGCCTATGGCGTTTCCCTGATCTATCAGAATAAGACTCTTGTCAAAAGGGCAAATGAGGGTAGTTGAGCACATCTTTGCATCTGTGTAGCTAATGGAGTATCACCTTCCTGGGATTTTTGCACTTTAATAGGGAGATGTTAATAGAAGTCTTCAAGATTCTGAAGGAATCAAAGGAGAGGGACAGGTAATAATTTGATATTTGAGAGCAAGGGGATATGTCCATCACTCTCTGAAGTCACACAATGTAGGGAAGTTTATTCCACCTACACATAATGCCCACATGAATTCATTCTTATGCTGATGGGAAAAGGTCAGGATCTGGACTTAAGCTTTATGTGAGCCCTGATATCACCTTCATTTGGGGGATTGGCTGTTGATGTACGAGTGAGCTTGCTCAAGATAGCATTATATTATTAGTATTAAGCCTTAAAGGCATTATTTAGTCTTAGAGGTATTAATCTAGTGCATTAGTACAGATTAGTATATGATGTATTATTTCTTTAGGGTTATAATTAAGGCTTGCATTTCTGATGATTATTACCCAAAGTGTGTTAGTGGCTGAATGGAGATTTGGCTCCTAATTCCAACTCATGATAAGCTTGCCAGCACCATTACTAAACTGTCAACAATTCCATACTTACAATCGTGTCCTGGAAAAGGCTGTCGACATCCCCTAATGCAAATTCTGGTGACTCCAGTTGCAGCCATGTACTCCTCTGACATGTGACTTCTCAACCTAGCTAGCTGTGAAATTCCACTGTGATTTCAAGGTTGTCCCAGGTCTCTAAAGAGTGTCTTTGGACCTACTCTCACTCCTCTTCTTAGAATTTATTTTATCAATTTATCAAACAATTCTACCACTTAACTCCCAATAGAAGGCTGGCTTATATAATGCTTACTGACTAATACTTTCTAGTGTGACCCTGTGTGACTCTGAGCAAGTCACTTGACCTAAATGTACCTCAGGCAACTAACTCCCTAGGAGTCACTGGATTTGGAGACTAAGGATTTCAGTTTTGTTCCTGAGTCTTCAGCTTAGTAACTGCATGACTCTGAGCACATCACTAAAACTCATTCTCTTGGCCTCAATTCCTCATGACCTCCAAAGTCCCTTTCAGGTCTGTGTATTTGATGCTATGATCCAGGCCCAGCTACACCTGAGGCATCCAAGGTGCCCAGTAGATCAAACCCCGGCCTGGAGTCAGGAAGACTTTAATTCAAATCCAGCCTCCCGACTCCAGTAAACTAGCCGGTGACCGTGGACAAGTTTCCTCAACTGCAAAATGAGGGTAATAATTGTACGTACTTCACAGGGTTGTTGAAAGAATCAAAGGAGATCGCATTCACAATTCACTTAGCACAGTGCCTGGGACATAATAGGTACTATAAAAATGCTAGCGATTATTATGATTATTGTTTGACCCTCAGGCAATCGCAATCTCTCTAGGCTTCCGTAATATGAAGGGTGTGGACCAGAGGACACCTAAGGCTACTTGTAGTTCTAAATCTCTTATTATTATAATAGGATCTGTGTTAACAAAGGGAATTTGTATGCCAGGAGTATTCTATGCTGAATAAAATAGAGCTGCTTTAAGAAGTACCAGAGGAACACCTCAAAACCGAACATTGTATCAGTCACTGTGCTAAGCAGTGGACCAATGCAATTAATAATAAAATAACCTGTTGTCAAGATGGAGCTGATATTTGGGAAGCCTTTAGGATTGCTGGAATGGAGGTGACTAACTTCAACTTTCAAAGCCTAACATCTGAACTAGCAAAGAGCCAGTGACGGGTATCCCTTAAGCACATCTGGGTGTTTCTAAAACCTCTTTCACCACGACCTTCCTGCTAGACCACCCAAATTAAGAAGGCCAAGGCTGGGGAGTTCTCAAGATCCATCTTATAAGGAAGTCAAGAGGCCACACTCTTTCCCCAAACTGGATCTTTTATTTAGAACCAAGTAGCTGTAATTCCCCATCGTTCTAGGTACATGAAATTGCGAAGATTTTAAGGACGGGGAGACCAGTGTGAGGAGATTGCCCTCATTTGGGAATGGGAGGGGGGAGACATGGTACCAGTGGAAAAAAGTCCAGATTTTGGAGTTGGAGGGCCTGAGTTCAAATCCTGACTCTTCCATACTTAGCACTCATGTAACCTTAGCCAAAAGACACTTGGCCACTCTGGGCCTCAGTTTCCTCATGTATAAAGTGAGGTTGGATTAGAAGACTTCCATGGTCCTATTGAGTACCAAGCTATGATTCAATGATCTTTTGTCCTGATTTGATTTCCACCTGAATAAATAAGTCTGTTTTACTGAGATTCCAGACTGTCAGTCTTGACACTAATGCTCAGTCAGCCTCGTGAGGCTCCCTTTCTCAGAATGGTTTATGTTATTATGGCAGGTAGCTGAGTCTCCCACTTGAGACCTTGATGCCTTTAATTGGTGAGTTAAAGTCTCTCTGCCCACTCACACAAGATGAAGACATGCATGTCAGAGCTGTAAAATCACCCTTTTCACACTCACTTCACACTTCTCAAGCACCCTTTATCAAACAACGAAAGTATTTTCTCTTGCCAACCAACCCTATACCACCTTCTCCTCTCCCAGCACCTGACTCTAACTGAACTCCACAGTCCTGGCTCAGTACATGACAAATGTTGGCCTCATCTCTGCAGGTGAGGAAAGAGACATGGAGAATTCTCAAAGTTAGGGAGCAACAGAATCAGAGATAGCAGCTCGAGCTGCTATATGTTGTTGATCAAGAGACCAGGTCATCACTCAATATTCCTGACCCAGAAGGGTTCAATGGGAGCTTTGAAGGCAGCAGTGCCCTGGGCCACTTACCTCACAAAAATTCTGGGTCATGATTTAATATAATAAAGCAGGAAGCTAGAGCATGACAGTAATCTTTGAACAGGCTTGAATAGAGCTGACTGGCTTCCCACTGTCTCCTGATTCCAGTTATACCAACTGCGATGTACCATAGGTGGTGAATGAAATACTTGGTATTTACGTGGTGCTCTCTCCTGAACAGGATGGGGGTTGTCATGCCTACGAATTGTACTGGGAACGTGTAGAGAACAGAGAGAAAAGTGATTCACCTAGGGATGGGCTAGGAGATATTTGCCATGCCAGGCACCAGGTGGGAAATGACATCTCCATGTCAAAAGTAAAAATTTTCTTTCAGATTCATGGTGTTTTTTTTTTTTGTAAGAGGAAAATGGGTAGTGAAAAAAAAGGATGGTTTTGGAGGACTGCTCCCTGGATTTTGTCCAGTTTCCCCTGGGAGTGATCCAATCCCATGGAAGAAAGGATATTGGATGATATCCAAGAAGCCATTGGTAGCAGAGCCAAAGAAAGATTTCCCACTTTGCTTGCCCTTCACCCAGCAACTAGCCAAAACACAGAGCTATTCTGCCTCCCTGAAGCAAGAATTGGCTAAACTGTGGTGACAGATAGAGTCTAATCTTAGAAAAAAGACAATGTAGTAAGAGAAAAGGCTAATGAAGAACTTACATTTTCCCTTAATCAGTGTCTACCACATAGAAGGAACTAATAAATACCTATTAATGACATTGTTATCATTCATAAGCATGCCCACAATTTGCACACACACACACCCCTTAACACATACATATGTGCACACATGCCTAGAACACACTGGGATGTCTTGCAATGCCACAGGAACAAGCAGGACTCCATACCAGTCAAATCATTCAGTCACAGCACACCATCATATTCACAGCAGGCAAAATAACAAACAAAAATTCTAGCCAACCCAGAGAAAGACACTCTTTTTTTTCCTCAAAAAGGCATTTTTAAAAAATATATTAAACCAGGTAAATTTTACTCAGATGTCACTTGGCTGGAGCAAATTAACAAAAAAAACCCATAAAATAAATATATTTTTGGTTAAAAAAAAAAGACATCCCTATACATTGAATACCTGTTACTAACTTGACAGCATTGTTTCCAGGGAATAAGTCCAGTTAGACAGAGGAGATGCATGGAGGTGAGGGAAGGAGGGTGGAGCCCTGGAATTGTGGGTGAGACAGAGAAAGAGGAGGGGGTCAAAGGGGGGCTAAGGAATAGGGATGATGAGGAGAAGCAACAAACATGATCTCTGTCTGTTTCATTTTCGAGGGTTTCCCAAGGGGATGGGTTCTGAGGGGAAAGGCAGTGTTGTGAGGGCACAGCAGAGGAGGAATACAAAAACTGAGAAACCAAAATGGGGAACACAAAACCACTACATTGTTAGAAACATCTGGTTAAAAAGAATACAAAAGTGACTCCTTGGAGGGGGAGGCCCGATACTCAGCCCCACTTTTCTCTCTCTTTGCTCTGAATGGCAAGAATCACTTTTCAAGATTTCTGTAATGTAGGTTTTTTTTGAGAAGGTTTTTTTTAAAATCTCTTCTTTGACTGTTCTCATGTCAGAAATCACTGATTTCACCAATCAGATTCTGCTTCATTTTAGTCTCCCAGGGAGGGAGATAATGTATATATACGTTTATGCTTCTGTGTGCCCACATCTGCATCCACCCTATCTGCTGGCACGTGACTCGAGCCGTGCCTTCAAGTCTCATTTGCTCAAATGCACACGATTGGCACTAAGGTAAGGCCATTTAGACAGTCTTGGCTCCCCCTGCTTCCTAGCCCCAGGGCATCCCCAGCGCCCCCCAGTTAGCTGCAGAGCTTGCCAGTCTCATACTCCACAGGACTTGGAAGTTTGGCATTGAAGGCCCTCAGGGAGGACTGAATCCTGCCCACTTCGTTGTTTGCCAGCTTGAGCCGATGCCGGAGCAAGCAAGAGAAGAGGTCGAGCCGGACTTTTCCGGGGGGAGAAAGCTGGTTCACTCGGTCCCTGATCTCAATGAGCTGCAACAGGGCAGAGTCCTGGGAACCTTGAGTGTATGGGTAATCCAGCTGTAGGATTAAGTCCCGAATAGCATCAGGGTCAAAGGGCATGCTATAGCCAAAGACCTGCAGGCTGTTGATCTTCATGTAGCCGAGATTCTTGGAGGGGTCAGACATCTCAAGGGGCTCATAGTAAAGCGTCTCATTAGAACTGTCATCCAGGGACTTGATTCGGCTCCTCAGGTAGACATGGACGGTCTCAAAAAAGGTCTTCCACTTGTTTCCCAGGGTGAGCGTCCAGTTTTGGCACTGGGCCGACGCATCCACATTAGTCCTTTCCCAGTCTGGAAAATTGCCTTCATTCACAGGCACGAACCAGCTCTCTGAATGGCTGCCCCCAAAGGGGTTGACGTAGATGGCCATGGCGGGTTCCAGGGTGCTGTTCTTGGTGAGACAGATCTGGAGTGACAGGGCCAGCATCACGTGGACCAGCCCTGGCTTGTACTTGTTGCTTTTTAGAGTCAGAAGCATGCGCTTTCTCCAGGAGGGGTCAAACCAGCTGCCCAGACGCATGTCATTGCTGATGAAGATGGAGTGGACCTCAATGCGGCTATCCCGTTTCTGAAGCAGGTACTTAAGTTCCAGGTCCTGCAGATCCGTCTCCAGGCCTACGTAATTCTCCAGAGACTCCGCCACCTCCGGCCGGCACAACCCCTGGGTCAGCACATAGCCATCATTGCAACCCCCACAGCGGGTGCTATTGTCTGGCGCACAGATGGCACAGGCTGGCCCGTCACCCAAGGCACACGGGATGGGACCCTGGCAGGAGGCTGGTCATAGGGGCAGGTGCAGCTGTGGCTCTGCTCCAAGAAAGTCCCAGGGACGGTGCTTTCAGCACAGTATAGGAAGGACTGGATCCGGTTCCACCAATAGGATAAGGGCCTGGAGAGGCAAAATAAGAGGGAAGCTTTATAGAGTCACGGTGAAATACGCAGGGATATCTTTCTTAGGTGATAGCAAGAGAGGCTGACATGGAGGGGTTAATAGAAGGAAAGAAGGGTCAAAAACAATAACAACGGCTGAGTACAGAAGCCCATGGTATTCCTTAGAATGTCCCACCTCGCTCATTCTCTACTGTATGAGAACCAAGAACCAAGGAAATTTGAATTTATCTTGGTTCTAGGATTCGCAAAGTAGAGCTCTTCGCATGACCATTTTTACCATACTTTTACCTTGGCTCTAAAATCCATAGTAGCCCCCTTGAATTCAGAATCACTTCTTTACCACTGTCAGCAAGCTCTCCATCAAATGATTCTGCTGACCCACTTGATCTCACTGCTTATGCCCTGCTATCATGCCCCCTCCTCTGCAGGAAGGCTCATTGACTCATTGTCCTCTCACCTACCATTAAACACCTCCCTCACCTCACAGGCTTTTCTACTTGTCTGGAAGGATTTCCTATCTCTCATTCACAGATCTATACCCTTTGCTTTCCTGTCTCTTGCTTCCTTTGCCAAGGCTTTGCCCACAAACAGTTTTTATCCTTTGCTATCTTTCCCTTGTGAGAGATGCAGCATGGTTTATTGGCTAGACAGTCAACCTGAACACCAGGTAGACCTGGGTTCAAGTCTCATCTCTGACTCATGCTGGCTGAGTGATCCTGGACCGGTCACTTAACCTCGTTGCTCTAGGTAACTCTCTAAGACTATAAGATGCAGAGAAAAGTGCCGATCTACATCAGCAGAGGATGTGTCTTCCGCTGTAAGTTACCTATGCCAATGAAACGGAAAGGGAAAGAAATCAGCATTTATATAGCATTTATATGTGCCAGGTACTGCGCTAAGCACTTCACTGTGACCTTGAGAGGTAGGTGCTATTATTAGCTGCATTTTACGGTTGAGGAAATAGAGGTGACTTGCCCAGAGCCATATAGCTAGTAAGTGTCTAAAGACATATTTGAACTCGGGTCTTCCTGAATCCAGGCCCCACACTCTGTCTGCTATGTCATCTAGCCTATCCCTATTCCCTATTTTGTTCTGCATTTTTTTCTCATATGTCATATGTTAGTCATTCCACTGAAATTAAAAGTTCCTTGCAAGACCTCTTTTCCTACTTCTGGGAGTCTCTTCTAATGTCCTCAGCACAGTGATGACTAGATATATAGCATATGCTGCATAAATATATATTTTTGATTTTCTGTCATAAACTTAATCAATCTTGACATTTGCATATGCAAAGAACAAAAGGAGAAATGCACAAAACTGTGAGCTTCTGTCCCTTAGCTTGTTTTCATTAAAAGTATATGTTAAAATGAACACAGTAGTAACAAAATTGCCCTGTTCATTTTTCTCCCTTTCTGAACCTCCTTTTCCTTTTGTTTATAAATATTTATTGGATGAATGAGTGACATCAACAACACAGCTAGTCCTTTTTTTTTTTCCTCATGGAGACCAGGTACAACCTGTCACTCTTGTTCTTATCAATATGGACAGGTCCATCAGCCCAGGTCACAAAAGGGGAGCTTGGAGCTCCAGCCTTGCCTGGCTGAGTGCTCCAGCCGGGCAGCTCACCTTTCCTTTGGCAGCCAGAATCGAGGCTGCCTGGGGCAGCGTTTGCAAAGGTTGAAGAGGCGGCGGATGACCCGATGGGTCTTCTTGGACAGCAGTTTCAGGGTGGTCCCCAGCTGCTGGTAACGGTGCTGGAGGCTCGAGTCCATGGCCCAGAACTGGGAGATGGCAGTTGAGTTGAGGAAGCGATCCTCTGGAAGTCTTTTCAACAGGGCCTGGAATTCCTCTGTGGAGATAAACCAAATGGGTTATATTATCAGAGGAAGAAGAAAAGAAAATAAGCATTTCTAAGGGACAGCTTGGGAACCATACAGGACTCTTCTCTGGAAGTCTCCACATAAACATGCTGCATCTTATGTAATACCCTGGAAAGGATTTCTATCTTATGGCACAGGGGAAAGAACACTTGATTTGGACTCAGAAGACCTGGGTTCAAATATCATTCCGTTTACTCATTACCCAGGTCATTTACCTTCTGAATTTCATTTTCCCATTTATGGAATGAACTCATTGAAAGGACACTTCTTCCTGAAAATAATGCGATCCTATGCACCCAGAGGGATATTGGTCTGAACAGCTTCTGTATGGTCCCTTCTGCCTATAAATGTTGTATTTCTTTCCTATCTTTGGTGGGGGCCCTTGACAAGGCTCTTATCTTGGGGTCTCCTGGCAAGCTCTTAACTTTTGTTTCTGACAGAACCATGCAAAGGGTCTGCTTCTTTTGGTTGGTTGAATGCAGAACCAGAGAAGGGATGAGAGGAAGGGAAGCTAGGTGAGTGCAGGCCTCAAGGCTCCCTTTCTAGCTGGTCTTGAGAACCACCCCACGGTGACCAGGCAAACGTTAAGGGGTAGTGGCGAGGGGGGAGTGGGGGGGGCGGGCCTGTCAGGTGTCTCACCTGACTCCTCAAACTGCCTGTTGTGAGTAGCCCAGGTGTCCTGAATCTGGAGCAGGCTCTCTTCCATGGCCCGGATGTCCGGTTCAGGGCAGTTGCACTCTGGGAAGCTGGTCCACACTCGCACCAGCAGTCATTCTCCCGGCAGATGAGCTCCCCTTCAGAGCTGCAGGTAATATAGCTGAGAGCAGCTGCCACAAATCGCTCTCTGAGGTACTCAGGTAGCAGCACCTGCAGGCCTGAGGCAAAAGACCCGTCAGGGGAGAGGGATCAACTCCACAAACAAGACTCCCGAGTCAAAGAGAAAGAGCCAGATTCCCCCAAGAGAAGAAAAGAACCTTAAAGATTATCCAGCCCAGGGCTTCTTCACCTTTTTGTGTGTGTGTGTGTGTGTGTGTGTGTGTGTGTGTGTGATGGACCCCTTAGGTCATCTGGGGAAGCCATGGATCCCTTCTCAGAACCATGATTTTAAATGCACAAAGATAAATAAGATTATAGAGGAAACCAATTATGGAAATTGAAAACAACGACAACAAAGTTCCAGGACCCCAGCTTAGGAACCTGTGCTTTAGCCCAGGAACCTAAGGCTGGGAAGATAAAGGGATTTGCCTAAGGCCATGCTGCTTATAAGTGGCAAGAGACCCAAGTGTGTGTATGTGTGTATATGTGTATAGATGCATATATATCCACGTGCACACATGCATGCATGTGCATGTATATATGTGTGTATACTATATAGTATGTGCATATATAGTATGTATATATAGTGCATATTATATGTGTGAGGTATATGTATATATAGTATGTATATATATAAACAATATATGGGCACGTGTATATGTGTGAATATACATGTATATCCACATGTATACACATATGTATTGCATGTATATGTGTGTATATAATATACGTATGTATATGTATGTACATATATGTGTACAGTATGTATATGTAATGTGTATTATATGTGTAACTATATATAGTATGTATATGTATGTGTATGTATGTGTACATATAATCTATGGGCATATATATGTATAATGCCTGTGTGTAGTATCTACCTATAATGCACATATGTGAATTTACACACAGTATATATATGTATACATATAATGGATGTGTGTGTATACATACACAAACACACAGATATATATATAATATATATATATTTTATGTATCATGTGCATGTACATATAGTATGCGTATGTGTATATGATGTATGTATGTTTACATACATATAATGTATGGGCATGTGATATATAATGTATGGGTATATGTATGTACATATAATGTATGTATATCTACACATAGTATGTGTATACATATAACGCACACATATATAGCATGTATGTGTATGTATATATGGTATGCATGTGTTTATGTGTATGCATGTACAAAAATGTCTACTATAAACATTAACATGTTGTGTAAATGTTGACTATTAAGATTTTTGCTATTATCTCTGCCACTAATTAGTTGTGTGACTTTAAGGGAGACCTTTAACTTTTCTGAGCTTCCTTTCCTTCACTGAAAAAGAATCAGAAGTGCAAAGGGCCTAAGAGTCCATCAGTCCAATTTTCTCTTTTTGGAGATGAGGAAACTGAGACTTACAAAGGTTAATTGACTTGACTTGGGTTACATAGCAAATAAATTCCTGACTCTAGATCCAGAACTCTGTCTTTGTGCTGGGCCTGGAGTTAGAAAGACTTGAGTTCAAATTTGGCTTTAGACATTTACTAGCTGTGTGACCCTGGGCATGTCACTTAAACTCTGTTTCCCTCAGTTTCCTCAAATATAAAGTGAGGATAATAACGGCACATACCTCCTAGCACTGGTGTGAGGATCAAACGAGATTATGTTTGTAAAGTGCTTGGTTAGTATAGTACCTGGCACATATTAGGTTATCATATAAATGCTTATGCCTCTCCCTTTCCCCTACATCAAGAGTTCTTAACCTGAGGTCTATGAACATTTGTTTTCTAAAATAAGATTTTGATAACTATTTTAATTGGATTCTTTTGTAATCCCATGTATTGTATTTCATGCATTTAAAAAAACATTATTTTGAGATGGGTCTGTAAGCTTCAGCAAACTGCCAAAGGAGTCGATAACACAAAAACAGTGAAGAATCCCTGCTCTGTAAAAGTTTCCCAAGGTCCCTCCCAGGTCCAACATTTTATGACTCTAAGTTTCTTCCTGGAATCTCCAAGGTTGCTTCAGTCCATGATACCAACAAGCCTGCCCATAGACATGGACAGTAAACCCACGGGCTCCATCTCACTGAGCTGCTTGAGAGTGAGGGAGTCCCTGTATCCCCATGACAGATAAGGGAGCATCTGGAAATTCAGTATCATAGGCCCAAAGCTCAGTCAATTCCCTTGCATGTGACATATGAAGGAACGAGTGCTCACAAGAACTCACCCAAACTCAAGGACAGAGATGTCCAGTGGTCAAAGGAATTCATGGAAAGAGAGTGGGATTTCTAGTTTTCCTTGACCATTTAGAGTATGGACATGGGAAGAGGTCTTCATATAAAGGAGAAGTTCAAGAACTACAGGAAGAGACTCGTGGTTGGATAGTGCTTCCTTTGAATCTTGGAATCTGTCCTTAGCCTTCCCTTATGTGACTGGGCCACAAAAATCCTACTTTCCATTTGGCAGTATCTTCTCCTGAGGTTCCCACACTAATCTAGTAGACAATGGAAAATGTGTTAGTTTGAAATATGAATGGAACTCCCTGACTGCTTCCCCAACAGGGACAAACAGACTAACCCAACACCATGCTCTGGAGTAAAGACCTGTGTTGAATTCCCACCTTTGACACTTGCTCCCTGTTTAATCATAACTGAGTCCCCTAATCTCCCTGGACCTCATTTTCCTTAGTTTTAAAATGAAGGGGCTGAGATGATCTCTGAAGTCACATTCAGTTCTAAATCTATGAGCCTTTGAATCCCTCAATACAGACACCCTATGACTCCTCCAGTATAAAGAAGGGTAGTCTTACATTAGACCTGGGTGTGAGGGAGCCCCAGCTCTATGTTTCTAGCTCAGCATTAGCAAAAAGCAAACCACCAAACATTTCTGTGCTTTAGTTCCAATAGAGTTACCATGAGCTGGAGTCATACCTGAGCTGACTGCAGTAGTAGAATTCCCTTATTTAGTTTCCACCTACCTTTAAACCAGCTAAAAGCTTGACTGTGGATAACCTGCAGTGGGGGGAGGCCTGGGCTCCTGATACATGGGTGTTCCCAAGGCTGGCCTGCAAAGGATGAACCACCCCAGCAAACCCATTTGTCTTGTGACTTAGGGAATAGGAGGCTTCCTTCAGTGTCAGGAGCAGGGGAGTAAAAGGAAAGAGGATCATAGGATCCCAGCTTTAGAACTGAAAAGGCGAGCACTGAATCCAAACCCCTCATTTCACAGATGAGGAAACGAAGAGCCAGCCAGATTAAGAGACTTGCCTAGATTATGCATCTAGTAAGTGTTGAAAGTGGGAGTTGAACTCTGGCGTTCCAGACTCCAAGTTAAGTGATCTATCTGGAGGCAAAGGAGGCAGGTAAGTGGCACAGAGATTTGAGTCTTAGGCTGGAGGCAGGAAAACTTGAATTCAAATCTACACTCGGACATTTACTAGCTGTGTGACTCTGGTCAAGTCATTTAATCTCTCTATGCCTCAGTTTCCTCAACTGTAAAATGAGAATTAATGAAGTAATATTTGTAAATTTTTAATACTGTACCTGGTACATAGTAGGCACTTTATAAATGAGTCACTCCTTCCTTCCTCTTTTTATTCCTTCCTTCCTTCCTTCCTTCCTTCCTTCCTTCCTTCCTTCCTTCCTTCCTTCCTTCCTTCCTTCTTCCTTCCTTCCTTTCCTTGCTATCCTCTACTTTCCCCCAACAGAGCATGGATTCCTCTGGCTCAATTCCGGCTAGATTCTTATTTTCCCTGAACTTCCCATGGTGATGGCATACATAAACACAGGGAATAGGGCCAGAGAGGCAGATTAGGTCCCACAGGCTTGGCTTACAGCATAAAGTATTCCAAAAGTTGGAGCTGACACACCTTTGTACTTACACACCTGTGTCACATTCTCATGCTACTCTCAACCCTCCCCTTCTAGGCTGCCTACCACTGGTTCGGGGCTGAGGAGAGCCTCCATGTCATGTACACCAGTTCCCTACCTTCTCCTAATCCCACCCCACCTTCATGTTTTCTCCCCCTCCTGATGGGAACATTCTCCACAACTGTAGCAGCGCTGCCCTGAGCAACAGCTGCATGAGTGATGGGCTATAAAATTAAATGGCATAAACTATTCCAAACCAACCACTAGACATTTTGAACTTCACCCATCACTAATTCCCAGACATACCAGCTAGCCCATCTAGGGAGCTGAGCATTAGTTAGCACCGGGGAACAGGCGTTCTTTATTTCTTAAGAAAAAATAAATAAAATTTTTAAAAAAATCTGACTCCCATGGTAGTAGTAGGTCGCTTCTGGCTCAGATTGGTTGGCATTTGTAATAATAGATCCTGGGTGAGGGTTATTGATTTTATGGTGCAGAGACAATAATATCTTAAACAGAGTCTAATTCAGTAAAGTCTCAAGAAAAATGAACTTTTCCCCCTGCCAAACAGCTCTGTCTATATCAATTTGCATAGCCTTGGTCTAAAGGATGTCAGAGGGAAATGGAGTACAAGGACTGGGTTAACTCCTCTTATCTTCCTGTCTCCAGACCTAATTCAATTTTCTTCTAATTTCACTCCCCTTTTTGCTTATTAGCCTCCAACCAAGGCTCCCTCCCCTGTTTCCTCTCCTTCCCCTAACCCCTCCCCTTATCTTTTCCTTCTTTCCCTCTCCTTTGCATTTCCCCTGTCCCCTCCCTCTTGCCCTTCCTATCCCCCTTCCCCTCCACTCCTCCTCTTCTTCCTCTTCTCCTCCCTGTTTCTCTTCCTCTCCCCTTTCCCTCTCCTTTCCCTCCCCCTCTCTTTTCTTCCCACCCCCTTCCTTTTCCTCTGGATTATCCTGGATCTGTCACTTCTTAGCTGTATGACCTAGACCAAGTCACTTTACCTCTCTTTGAACTTTTAATCTGTGAAATGAGGGGTTTGAATTAGATGACCTCCATGGCCCCTTTCATCTCTACATCTACAATCCTGGCATCTTTAAGTTTTCTTCTATTTTGGAAACCTTGTATACCTTTTATAGAAGGCTGGTATCAATATTCCCTTCACTACAGACAGGTTGGGGGCAAGGAAGGTAACTAGAGAAGAGCTCTGTCTTGGAGAAGAGTTGAACAGATCCAGGGACTTGGGAAGTGGGCAAGCCATTTCAACATTTTTCCTTAAGGAAGAACAGGAAAATATGAATTCTGCCTCAGACATTTACTAGTTGGATCAGTTCCCTTATCTATGAAATGAGAAGACTGGACTCAATGGTCTCTGGGGGACTTTCCAGCTCTAAACCTAAGCTTTGATGATCCAATGTCCAGAGAAAGCGTCTTGGTTTCAGCAGAATGAAATGAATGCATTTTCTGTTTGTTAATCTATTTTGGGTTTGTTTCTGGGTTTTTCCCCTTTTCTTGCTTGAGCAGCAGCTTCCAGACACTGCTGTGGCTGTGGAGAGGTGGGGGAAAGACTCCTTACCTAATAACTGAACCTTGTTTTCTGGACTCTGCACCAGGACTGAGCTGACGGAATCCAGGTTATCATAGTTACTGCAGCCCAGAGGGCCTGTCCGTGTCTCTGTGACCTAGAGAATTAAGCAGAGAGGGGGGTTTTCAGTAATAGGCATCATTTTCCTTTAGGACTCAGCAATGAAGTCATCCAAGTGTGCTTTGGTAAACTATCCTTGACTGTCCCCAAGGAAGTCAAGTTGGGTAAAGTCAATGACATTTATTAAGCACTGACAATGCACCAGATACCATGGGCCTATCGAGGAAGGTAAAAGTAGTCCCTGCCCTCATTGAGCTCATAGACTAATGAGGAAGACAACATGTAAACTGGGTAAATACAAGATACATACAGAATAGAAAGAAATCATCTCAGAAAGATGGCACTAACAGCAGGAGGCATCAGGAAATAATAATAATGACAACAATTATTACAATAGTAATAATAATAGTAGTAATAATAGCATTTACACAATCCTTAAAGGTTCACAAAGTGCTTTACATGTGTTATCTCATTTGATTCTCAAATACGAGCTATTATTATGCCCAATTTACATATGAGGAAACCCAGAGATATTAAGTGACTCATCCAGGGTTACACAGCCAGTAAGCATCTAAGGCAGGGTTCAAACTCAGCTCTTTGTTACTTCAGCCCCTGAGTTCTCTTCCATCTACTGTTCCACCTTGCTGCATCTAGTAGAAGCCCTCCTACAGAAAGTTGTCCTGAAGTTTAGTCATGAAGGAAGCCAGCGAAGCTAAGAGGTGGTGGTAAGGAGGAAGAGCATTCCAGGGATAAGGGACAGCCAGTGCAATGGAATTTCACATGTCTTCTTCACAGGGACTACAGTCAATTCTCCTTCTTCCCTATTTTAAGACAGAAGAATACAATTGACTAAGAGTTATGCCCCAGAGCTCCAGAGTGCCTGCATTTCATCTGGGAGCCAAAAGGAATCCTGAGGCTCTTTGAAGAAGAGCTGATATGGGCTGGGTAAGAAAAGAAAAAAAAGAACAATTAAAGCATGTGTCAGCTAATGAGTAAGTGAAATCTCTAAGCAGAAGAACCATGAGCAATCTTTGATGTCACCTCTGACTCTCCCTCTGTCCTCCTCCCCACAGGAAGATGACAAATCCTCTGGATATACAAGGGCAGGCAGGCCAGATCCACACTGTAGGACGCTGGCAAACAAGCCGTGCTGTAGTCAATTCATGTGGAATTGACAGACTTTGGAGATCCCTCAGGAAGCAAAACACTAGAGGAATTTGAATTATGAGTAGTATTATTAGTATTAAACATTTAAGTCCCACCTCAGCCCTGAGAAATCCACAGAGAAAAGCAGCCATGGGCTTTACTGAATATTTTAATAAGTATATTAAATATACATAAACTCTTATAGCCACGTCCTATTCTAGAGCACTATGGAAACTCTTTAAAATATTACAAAGCTGGCCCATCAGTTTTCCCATGATGCTTAACGTACGAGTTGAATAATATATAGCTTTAACTGAACTGAAACCATTATGCACTAAGAATGATGGGGCGCAGCTCAGGATTTTAAACTTCTTTGCCAAGATTCACTCAATTAACAAGTATTTATTTGGCATCTATTGTATGGCACTTTGCTAGATTTTTTTTTGAGGGGGAGGGGAAGGGAACAAAAAAAGGAACGAGACACATTCCATGCTCTGAAGAGGGTACAGTCTACTTTTCTATTGGATAAAGGGGATTGGGGTAAAGACTACCTAGACACATGAAATATTGTACTAAATTCTATGGTATTGGCTATGGAGGGAATGCTGGGGCACTGGATAGCTGGAGGAATGTTTTCTGGAAGAATAAGTTTTAGGCTGGGTCTTGAAGGAGAGATGGGATGGATAGGACAGGAAGAAAGGAGAAGAAAAGACGTTTCAGGAAATGAAACAAACGAGGCACTAAAGTAAAAGAGTCTGTGGAAGATGGTTGATGGAGAAATCAGTCTGACTTACTGAGGACATGTTATTAATATTTCTGAAGTGGAATCTAAGGATGATTATCCCCATTTTTGTCATATATGTTATTATCTTTTGTTTTCACTTCACCTAGATTTTCCTCTGCAGCCCTCCTCCCTTTCTCTCCAAGACAGCCATCCTTTATAGCTAAGAATTTTATAAAAAGAAAAAAGAGGAAGAGAAAAAAATTCAATAAAACTGATTAATACACATAAGAAAAAACTTTCATACGCAATGTTTCCCATCTGTGGACTCCCACCTCCGCAAAAGAATGGGAGCAAGTATCTTTTCATATCTCTTCTTTGGGACCAAGCTTGTTCTCTGCAATTCTGCAACCTTGTTTCAATTGTTTATGTTTTTGTTTTTTTTTCCCCATTGACTTTGTTGTTGTCATGTGCATATCTTTTTCCTAGATTGGCTTTCTTCACACTGCATCAGCTCATTTAAGTCTTTCCACCATTCTCTATAGTCATTATGTTAACTATTTCTAACAGCACAGTAATATTCCATTATATTCATGCATCCTAATTTGTTTAGATATTTTCTAATTGAAGGTTATCCCCATTTAGTGAGTGAGAAATGAGGCACCAAAAACTTTACCTAGTGGATTTATAAATGTCTTTTCCCCTTAGAAGACAATTGAGACAGCCTTACCACAAGCAGTGTTAGGCTAAAAGACTGGCTCACAATTTTTCTCTCTACCCCATTACTAGAGGACTTCAACATACAGACTGATATTTCTTTAAAACCCAAATTTTCCAGGTCCTCAATGTATTCACCTCTCATCACCTAGTCCTCCACTACACCTCTGCAGTGCACAAAGATGTTTATATCCCAGGATATGCTGGTGGCCTTTTAGAGCCAATTGTTACATTTCTATGTGAGTATTTAAACCTTGGACATTGAGAAACTCCACAAATTAGGGCCTGATTTATTATTTTGTGGAATGTCTATACTTTAAAAAGTGATTGAGAAAACAGTAATGATGCACATTAAACTTACATCAAAGCACATTTTTCTGGAGAGCAGGTTGTTGAATATTTACCAACACACTACTGGACACCTTTGATTTCATCACTCACAAGTTTTCCATTGCCATAAGTAAGAACTCAGAAGTTCCTCTATCTAATCACGATCTCTTATCTTTCTATTTCTTCCTATTACTCATTCATTTTAAACCTAGTCTTCTTCTTTATTGTAACATTAAATTGCTCTACTGCTCAGTATTTTTCTGGGCAGTCATTCAGAATTTTTGCTTCACACTCTTCCTTTTCCAATCTACACTCCTTAGTGAAAGTTTCTCTCTCTCTCTCTCTCTCTCTCTCTCTCTCTCTCTCTCTCTCTCTCTCTCTCTGTCCCCTCTCTCTCTCTCTCCCTCCTTCTCTCCCTCTCCCTCTTTCTCCCTCTCTTAACATCTCTCCTGCTTCAAAAACCCCTACCCTCAATTACTCTTACCATCTGCTTCCCTCTCTCCTATTCACATGCTGCTCAATGGAGCTTGAACAAATCTTGCAACCATGTTGACTAAACCCACTACAAATTTATGTTCTTTAATTTCACGTAGGTCTTTTCTACAGCAGAGCAATACTACTACTCCTCTCTAATAGATTGTCTATCTCACTCTCTGAAATGTCTCTTCTTTCTTTTCTTCATTCCTTACGACATAAAGAGCATTCTTTTCCCCACTCTCTGGGCTGAGATCCTCACTTTATACTACCCTTCCCCCCAAAAAGAATTAAGGCTATTCATACAGAACTTCCACTTCTCTTCCCTGAAACTGATAACCCACCCTCCTCATCACACAACCTCTTGACATTATTCTCTGTGTTTTGGGTTGAGAATGATTCAGACTAGTCCTATAATAATTTAATTTTGATAATAGAACAAAATGCAATACAACTTGTAAGTTATTCAACATTTAACAAAGAAAGATTTACATAGCTATAAGAGGGTATTTAGCCAGGATAGGCATTGAGGACGCCTTGAGTGAATTTCACTGAGCAAAGGTCCCTTCCCTGACATAAATATTGTGATCCATCATCCAACTATCAGAAATAACATCTGAAGCTTCTGGCTGCTTTGTACTCAGGTGATGAAGAAGAGATGTCAACAATCTGAACCTTAAGTCCCCTGAACTAATCAATGATCTCAATACCTGTTAAGGAAAAACCAATCTAATTTGTATGGGGGGTGGGGGAGAGGTAGAGGCGGGATTGGAGGAAACATATTGCTCTTGTCAAACACCGGCAAGTCCTCCTTTATACACCAGTCTCTGATAAAAGAGTATTGCTTTTCCTAACCAAGATCAACTCCTCCACATGCACCTTTTAATCTGTTCCTCCATGTCTTCTCCAGCAGATTTCCCTCACTATTATCCCCCCACCCTCTAATCTTCAATTTCTCACTCTTATTTTTTCTCACTGTATTTTTTTTTTGCTATAGTCTATAGAACTCTTCAATCTGCCTAGTTCTTAAGGGGAAAAAAAATACTTTACTAGGCCCTACCATCCTCTTTAACCATCAACATATTTTCTCTTGCCTTTCTCAGGCAAACACCTTCAAAAAACCATCTACATCCAGTGCCTCCATTTTCTTTTTTCCATATTCTCTCCTTAACCCCCCTGCAATGTGACTTTTGACCTCACTCAGCTGAAAATGTTGTCTCTAAAGTTACCAACAATTTCCTAATCACCAACTTTAATAGCCTTTTCTCAATTTTCATCTTCTTCAACTTCTGTGCTGCATTTGACACTGTCCACTACATTGTCCTCCTGGATACATGCTCTTCTCCCCTCTGGCTTCTCAGGACACTGTTTTCCTCTGGTTCTCCTCCTTCAAGTCTAACTGCTTTTTCTCCTACATTGATTAATCATCCATGTCATACCCACTAATTGTGGATATACCCAAAGGCTCTGCTTTGGGCCTTCTTCTCTTTTCTCTCTACATTTTCTAAATTGATGACCTTATAAACTCTCACGGGTTCAATTATTACAACTATGCAGATGCCTCAGAAATCTGGCCTTAGTCTTTGTTCTAACTTCTCTTCCCACATCACCAAGTGTGTATCGAACATGTCAAACTAGATGTCTCAGAG